CTTAGTGTGGTTCTAATGGCTTGACACACGCACTCCTGTGCATTCATGGCAAGAGTTCAAAAGAGAAGTGACAGACAAGTTTCATTGTAAGCAATTGGGGGGAGAACATGAGCGTCTTTTGGCGCTTAAGCAGGAAGTGACACTAGCTGAATTTAGAGAGAAGTTTGAAATGCTATTAGTCCTTTTATCCATAGTACCTGATGAAATGATAATGGGGGCCTTTTTGAATGGATTAAATGAAGAAATTAGAATTGATATACGACTTATGCATCCCAAGAGCCTAAAGGAACTTATGGACTATGTAGGATAGGTGGAGGATAGAAATAAAATTAAGGAAAAGGTAATGGAGGAGAAGAGAAGCAAGGCAACGAAAACGTTTAGTGGTAGCCAATGGAGTGACCTGAAACTCATAACTCCTAAGTTCAGTATTGTGAAGGCGCCCAACAATCTGAGCGTGCCATCAACGACAAAGATGTGGGAGTGAAGGCGAGCAAGGAAATGAAGTTGATGCAAGTGAAGCAGGTGAGCCCTATCATGTCGTCAATTAGCAGCAGTAGGAGTGTGATGCCACGCAAGCGTCTCTTAAAGGTCGAAATAAATAGGAGGCATGAATTAGGCCTATGCTTTAAGTGTGAGGAGAAGTTTGGCCCAAACCACAATTGCAAAAATAGACAGCATAGGCTCTTGGTTATAGAGGACGAGGAAATCTGCCCAGAAGAAGAGGGAGCAGCAACCAAAATGAGAGCCCAATGAAGAAGAGGAGCTTGTGTTTATGGAATTATCATGGCTACTAGAGTGGGTCTTACGAGTAAACGAACATTAAAATTAAAAGGGAAGACACGCGGAAGAAGTGTCTTTGTGTTAATCGACTGTGGTGCCATACATAACTTCATGGTTGCAGCGCTGGTTGAAGAGCTCAAGATTCCAACCCAGACCATTAAGCAGTATGCTGTCACTGTCAGAGATGGGCAAAAAGTGTTTTCGAACCTCAAGTGTCCAACAGTAGAATTAGAGATATAAGGAATGAAGATTGAACAATACTTCTATTCGTTTAATTTAGGTAACGTAGACCTTGTGCTGAGGTTTAAGTGGCTTGAGTCTTTAGGGGAAACATGTATGAATTGGCGGTAGCTCCATATGAAAACAAAAGTAGGAAAGCAGTAAGTATGCCTCAGGGAAGATCCTTTTCTATCGCAAGCCCAAGTCTCACTTTAGATAATTAAAAAAAATATTTGTGAGATTATAATGGGGTACTTAATTGAGTTACAACCTTGTAGCAACAAGATGAGGAAGTTCAATCGATTGTACAGGGTGATAAAGCTAAGATACTTGAGGAATTCCTTGCTGTGTGTGAACCTAATAAGGGATCATTGCCAAGACGCACTCATGATTATTCTATAACCATTAAAGAAGGTTCACAACTTGCAAACACATAACCATATATGTATGGACATGCCTAAAAGGCTGAAATTGAGAAGCTAGTTAAAGAGATGCTGATGGCAGGGATAATACAACCCAACACAAGTCCTTATGCAAGCCTGGTGTTGCTGGTAAAGAAAAAAGACGGCAGCTGGAGGTTCTGTATTGATTATAAAGCTCTAAATCGTATCACTATACTTGACAAATATTTAATTCCAGCTATTAATGAGTTACTGATGAGTTAGGAGGAGTAACAATTTTCACCAAGCTGGATCTCAAGGCAAGCTACCATTAGATTCACATTAAAGAGGGAGTTGAACCCAAAACGACCTTTCGCACTTATGACGACTACTATGAATTCAAGGTTATGCCATTTGGTTTGATGAATGCACCTTCTACTTTTTAATCTCTTATAAATGACATTTTTAGAGATTATCTATGAAAGTTTACACTTGTATTCTTTGATGATATACTGGTGTAAAGTAAAGACAGGAAATCTCATCAGGAACATCTAAGGAAGACTCTGCAGCTATTGAAACAACATCAACTAGTGGTGAATCTAAAGAAATGTTTGTTTGGGCAGAACCATATTGAGTATTTGGGGTATATCATTTCTACTAAAGGAGTGAAGTTGACCCCTTAAAAATCACGGCAATGCTACAATCGCCAGAGCCAAAGAATTTAAGGACGTTGAGGGGGTTTCTTGGTCTCGTAGGATACTATTGCAAGTTTGTAAAGGGATATAGCAAAATAGCAGCCCCACTAACTCACATACTCAAAAAGGACTCCTTTAAATGGGATGAAAAGGCCTAAAAATCCTTTGAAGATCTCAAAGAGTCCATGACAACTTTGCCTATTTTGACAATGCTTGATTTCAACTAGCCTTTTGAAGTAGAAGTAGATGCTTTGGGGAAAGGAGTAAGGGCTGTTCTGATGTAAAGAGGACGACCTATAGCTTATTTCAGTTAGAAGTTATTTGAAAAATGCCAACAAAATTACGTTTATGAGCGAGAATTAACAGCGATCGTATTAGCAATCAAAAAGTGGCAACATTACTTGTCCAGCCAGACTTTCATTATAAAAACAGACCAAAAAGCCCTCAAATATCTCCTTGAACAGCGAGTCCTAGCACCTGATCAGAAGAAGGTGACAAAACTTATGGGATATAAATTCTAAATCCAATATAGCCTGGTAGAGAAAACAGTGTGGCTGATGCACTATTTAGACGCGATATGGAAATGGAATTAAGCGTTGTGTCTATGTGGCAGTATGAAGGGGTCAATGAGCTGGTTGCTAAAATTTCAAAAGATACACGTCTTTGAGAGATTATGTAGCAATTAATAGAAGGGAAGGAAGCACCAAAAGGGTATACTATGAGGCAAGGAGTGATTTATTTTGAAGGAAGGCTAGTGTTACCCAAAAATTCCCAGAAAATTCCAGCATTGATTACGGAGTTCCATGATTCACCTATGGGAGGCCACTCGAGCCATTTGAGGACTTACAAGAGCCTTGCTACAATGGTATTTTGGGAAGGTATGAGGAAAGATATTCAAGAGTATATGGTGAGATGTGAAGTTTGCCAATGCAACAAGTATGAGGCTTTAAATCCCTTTGGGCTTTTGCAACCTTTGCTTATTCCTCAAGCATCATGGGAAGATATTAGTATGGATTTCATAGGGGAGATACCAAAAAGTGGCCGCTTTGACACAATTTTGGTAGTAGTAGACTGTTTGACCAAGTACGGGCATTTCCTTCCTTTATCGCACCCACATAGTGTTAGAGAAGTGGCTGAATTAATGGTACAGGAGGTTATCAAATCGCATAGGTTTTCGAATTCTATTCTATCCAATAGAGATCGTGTCTTTATAAGTCAATTTTGGAATGAGCTCTTTAGCTTGGTAGGAACCACTCTCAAGTTTAGCTCTTCCATCATCCTGAGATTGACGGGCAAACCGAGGTGGTCAATGGAACTTTAGAGACCCACTTGAGGTGTTTTGCTAGAAATACTCCAAAAAGGTGGGCTAAATCGTTATCTTGGGCTAAATATTGGAATAATACCATTTATCACAATGCTGTCGAGATGACAACTTTCAAGGCACTATATAGGAGAGATCCATCAACACTTTTGAAATGGAAAAATTAGCCTTCACGAGTCCAGGCAGTGGATGAGTTAATATAGGAAAGAAACTTGATTTTGGATGAACTCAAAGGGCAACTAGAGAAGGCTCAAGTAAGGATGAAAAATCAAGCAAACAAACAACAAAGGGAAATCTAATTTGAGCAAGGGGATCTTGTCTACCTCAAACTAAAATCGTATAGGTACAAATCTCTAGCCAAAAAACCTAATGAGAAGTTGTCACCCAGATTTTTTGGCTCTTATAAAATCCTGGAGAGGGTTGGTAAAGTGACATACAAGCTGGAGTTACCTCTAACAGCTCGAATGCATAATGTATTCCATATATCTCAAGCTAAAAAGTGCTCTAAAAATTTCAGTCACTGCCCAACCCCTCCCTAAGGGCCTCAAAGAGGAGCCGGAGCTGCAAATTCAGCCAGAAGAACTTAAGAGTGTGAGGAGGACAAACAATGGAAAGTCGCAGATTTTAACTAAATGGAAAGACTTACCTGACCATGAGAATGCCTGGGAAGATGCAGAAGTGCTAATGGAGCAATTTCCCCACTCACCTTGAGGACAAGGTGTTGCTTGCAAAGGAGGGAAATGTTGGGCCTCCCAATATGTGAGGCCATGTATACAAGCAAAGGCCCAAGGGAAATACCTAGGAACAGGGGAGACAGGGATAGAGTGGGAAAAATATAGTGCATAACAAAGCCTGACACTGTTAGTGTAGTGGAGGGGTAAAAAAGTAGGTAGGGAGTGACAGAGAGGGTAGGCAGTAGTATCACCTTGGGGGAGAGGGCCTGGTCTCTCAAAAACCAAGTTGTTTGAGGGTCTCTTTCTTGTTCTTTGTTCTTATTTGACGTTTGGAATAGGAACTAGAGTGAGTAAAGTTGATTAGTGAGTGTATTCTCTACATTTTCCCTTCGTAATAGAGGATACCAGTGAAATATTCATCATTTTCTTGCCATTAATTTCTTTAAATAGCTGTTATTGGTGCTTGTCCTATCATGATGTAATGGGGAGGTTAGAGTAGGAGATTGCCCAAGCAAGATCAGATCCATCAACCTGGGGTTTTTTTTTTGGGGGGGGGGGGGGAGTCTCTCATACAACATTTGGTAAGTAGAAAAGTGCTATTCAAAAAGAAAATGGAAAATGCACCAATCACAATTTCTTTCTAAAAAACGTTTTAGTGTACCAAACATTGCCTTACAATACATTGTGATGATTCTTCAGGAAAATCCCACAAAGTGTATCTGAACAGTGGAGACTAGAGATGATAAATTGGTCCGGTGACTATGCCAGAACTAATGTTGGACCCATCAACTAGACTCCACATTATTATAAGGAAAGACTGCTAAACAAGTCAACTCTAGTAATTCTTTCCAAGCATTAGAAGAATTAGATGCTTGAACAATTTTCAAGATTAAACCAGTGTCACGACAGTATTTCTCTCAAACTACAAGACCCACAGATCTCTTTAGTTAGTTAAAGATAATGTCGGATTCAAACGGGGAAAGATGTTGCAATAAACAAATAAATCAAGCTGTCAACTAAGAGAAAAAATTACAATTGGTGACAAAGTTATATATGTCTCTCTTGTCCTTCCAATCACTTTTTTAAGTTATTGGATGTTTCTACAATGCCCAATTATGCTCTCACAAGCTATTATTTTCGGATACTTATAAAACAGTCCCTTCTGAAAAATTCCAAAATTAAAAAAGAAAATTCCCGCCAAAAAAATGGAAAGATCAGCCCTCAAGTTTATATCGTGCTCACTTACTTGCATATGTTGTCAGTATCCTTTCACACTGTAAGATCAGTTCATCTTCCGGATGTTGAAATTTTCAAAAAAAAAGACATACTCATTCTTTCTCATCAACTCCCTGTTTGGCCCCATCAGCTCCATCAACTGGAGGCAATGTCTACAGAGAAAAAAGATCAAGAGCTAAAATCATAGCTGGGAAAATGAAAGATGAACAAACTCAAAGTCAAAAATCCAGGGTGGAGCGGGGAGGGAAGGAGATAACATGAAAGATTTGGGTTATTTTGTCAACCAAAACAAAGGTGTCAACAAAAGGCTACATTTTTTTTCACCCCTTAAATTTATGTTCATCTCACTTCCTTCCTAATTTTTTCATGTCAATTTCGTGTCCTAACATCTCATCAAATAAACCTAAATGGTGCCGTCTTATATCTTGAAACCCAACCCCAGCCTTCTTCCTCCACAAAGCTTATGAGATATTATGCTAGAAATCCACGTAGGCAATGTAGTATTGATTTTTGCATAATCTAAAAGCTACATGTAATATCAATTTTTATAACCATGCAGGATGAAACAAAAGACCAAAAGAAAACATTTGGATGGTGTTGAAAGTTGAAATTAACATCATACTTAGAGGACCAAAAATATATAAATTTGCTTTCAGGCAATTATAGGAAAACATTACAAGCTGAATTTATCTTAGTGTAAATTATGCTATGTCATCATGTCAACATTGTAAAGGACAAGTGACCGTATCTCAAAGTAAAAATGAACAGGACAGTGTCAAACCATATATCCAATTTTGAATACCCAGCTGCAACAACCGGTATATGCAATTTGGATCAACTGCTTACCTTTGAGACTAATACCTAATTACAAAATTTGACCTTGAACTGTGAAAGGTAACAAAATATCTCTTAAAATTCAGACTGAAATAAAATGAAACTGTTAAATCCCAATTAAACTAAATTACCAGAGCATACGTAACAATATCTTCATGTAGCCTCTTGTATCAACCTTTTAAGTCAAACCAGATGCAAGTTCATAAGGATTGTTTACAAGGAAGGAGCTTCTCACAGTCAACTTTCACTAGAATGTTTTCCTTTCTCAGTCTAAAATTCATAGATATGCTCTGTTAACATTGAAATTCACACAGAATTTGCATTCAAACCTTAGATCAAGGAGGTCAATGTTATCTTCCCTTAATTTTTTTTCAAAACGGATGTTTCGAATGGTCTAGATTTCAGTTAGGCACCCCCTCAAAAAATATGCATAAAACATCATCATGAGCTTTCAAAATTCCAGTTTAGACAAAGCAAGCACAACAAAATCCTCTAGCTTACTAAATTCATAATTTGGAGTCAAAAAGCTAAAGACAGTTGGAAAGAAAAAGGCAGGATGAAATCTTACAAGATTAGGCTTATAGATATTATGGACAACAGAGGCACCAGCAAGAAGAGAGAAGACGACAACAACAGACGACCAAGCCAGGGATGGAGTCCCGATTGGCTTCCTTCCACCTCCAAATTTTTTATTCATTCCCAAAACTGTGAATGGTGGCCTTCTCGTACTGTCTAAAAGCAATGTTCAAATTGCTTCTTCTGTACATGGAAAACCACAAGTTTCTTTTCTCAATCTCAATTCTCAGATGACACTAACAACATAAATGGAGAACCCCGCCCCATTCAAGTTCGTACTAATTTGTAAAAGGGAAGATCAGACAGACTTTCTCCAAAAGCCATCCCATTATAAATGCTCTATTATCACAGTTCAAATTTATGCCTAAAACAAGATGATAAAATCATTGTACTTTTTTTTGAATTCATAAACTAGTATCAAGTAGCAAAAATTAATAGTCGCGTAGCAGTAGTCTAAGTAAAGCAACCATCACCTGGAAGAAATTGGAGATTGGCGAGAAGTTGTTCGGCTCAATCTCTATGAGGTTGTGTGGAAGGGTCTTCAACGTCAGCTAGCCGGTGGCCAGTGGCGTCGTTGCAGCACAGCAAGAGCAACGCAACGACTGCAGTGTGAAGGTTTGGAAGACTGGGGGTGGTACCTGGGATGAAAGATAAAAAAAAAAAAAATCGTTTCTTTTTTGGTTTTTTTAAAGAGGGGCAATTTATTCAACAAGTACACAACAAAAAGCGCAATTGATGGACAAAATTGGGCCCAACATGAAACAGAAACTGTAAAACACAAAGAAAAGAACATTAAAAAAAACAAAACAGACCCTTGGATTATTGGACATAAAAAAAATGTGAAGCATAGGGAGTTATTAAATATTAACATTTAATCACTTTTTTTTTCCCTACCAACAAACAAGAAAACTTTTTAATAGTTATCTCTTATGTCGTAATCTTATTATTTGCAGGCAGCTCGCAATGATGTTCTTCTTGCTGTTCCAGCCCTTCTGTATGCTATAAACAACTACCTGAATTTTATTATGTAGGTACTTTTTGTTGTAATTATTGTGTAAGTGTGTCAGAAGGAAAAGTCCCATATTGACCACATGAAAAAAGCTCCTAATGTATATATATATATGCTAAGGAATGAAAATGAGTTTGGAGGAAAAGTAGGATTGTGTGCCCTTACACACGAGTTGAAGGGACACTAGGTCTTTTACCAGATTTGTTTTGCAAAATTATAAAATTAATTTAGTCTCCCTATCTTTCTGTTAAAATCATAATTTTTGTGTTTAAATTGTTAGCATTTAAATAGGTTAATGGCTTTAAACAATATTTAATTGCCATAACCTTCTCAACTTTCAAAAAACGTCCAAATAAATTGACTTTATGTGCTATTATGCTCTTTAAAACTAATGTCTAATTACTTTGCCAAAGTCTTCCATGTGCTTTCCCTATATATAGTCTGGGAATGCAATGTGTCCAGTACTAAACTCTTCAATTCTCAAGCTTATTCTCTGTATTGTGTTGCTAAGTATATCTTGTTCTATGGCCTTGCTTATTTTGTAGGAAGTGTTTGTTTAATCTTGAGGAGCTATCGCGCAATCAACCTTATGTGGCGGAATAGCTCTTAAAGACAGTGTCCTTGGCATGACTCAGACTTCATATCTACTCGGTGATTTCAACACTTTTAGTCCTTGGTATGCTACTATGACTTTTTTATGCATCAACACATTCATTTCCTGTCATTATGAACACTTGAATGTCTCATAAAGCTACCCAATTCCTAAGCGTATTAGACCAAGAATTGTTACAAAAAGCCGCGGGCAGGGCATTGGAAAATTGGGCCCAAGTCTTCCATGGCCTTGCTTTCCCTAATGTCTTCCATGTGCTTTCCCTATATATAGTCTGGGAATGCAATGTGTCCAGTACTAAACTCTTCAATTCTCAAGCTTATTCTCTGTATTGTGTTGCTAAGTATATCTTGTTCTATGGCCTTGCTTATTTTGTAGGAAGTGTTTGTTTAATCTTGAGGAGCTGTCGCGCAATCAACCTTGTGTGGCGGAATAGCTCTTAAAGACAGTATCCTTGGCATGACTCAGACTTCATATCTACTCGGTGATTTCAACACTTTTAGTCCTTGGTATGCTACTATGACTTTTTTATGCATCAACACATTCATTTCCTGTCATTATGAACACTTGAATGTCTCATAAAGCTACCCAATTCCTAAGTGTATTAGACCAAGAATTGTTACAAAAAGCCGCGGGCAGGGCATTGGAAAATAGGTGACAAATTAAACCTTACCCCATGCTAAATCCAAGGTTGTGGAGATCCCTAGAAAGAATGGCATTATCATTATGTTCTCACTGAATATGTTAATCTTGACATTCTTTTTGTGTTGATGACCTCTAAACCAGAAGAAATTGTGTGGAAATTACTGCCAAACAAAAGAACCTTAGCTTGTTGATGGAATTGTAATCTGACTGATGATGTCTTGAATACCTGCCGTGTGCAAATGGTTGGAGGTCTTTCTAATGTGACGTGGTTTCTTGTCTGTTCCTGTGTTATTTGACATTTTGGGTATCCTACGATCACATTTAAAAAAAAAAAAGGAAAAGAACAGAAAAGAAAAGCCAAGTGTTGAGCCATGTTGCCATATTATCTTGCTATAGTCACGTTTTATGCATTAAAGACAACTCTTGTATGTTGAGTTTCATATTTCTTAGTGTCTGACCGGTTGATCACATTTCATGCAGCTTTATTTAAATCCTGCTTCTGTGAACATGCTAAGGAATTTGAAGGTAATTTGTCATTTGTTGTGCTTTTGGGCAGTACATTTGTATCCATAGTAATGGTTTGCTGAGTTTGCTCGTTGTGCTTCTTTAGTGAGGGGGTGCTGATGCTTCTCATTGCAGCGCTTAAATTATTGTATGCAGTGTAAATATGTTGACTAGATGTTGACATTGTAAATAATATAATTTTGCAGGCATTAATAGGTTCTTAATTAGTCACAATGAGGCTTTAAGGCTTTGTCTTGTATCTCAACGTCTTAATAGAGGATTTCATGTAGGCAGACTCAATGACTATATTTCACTTAAAGGGTTACAAGGAGAGAAGAAGAGAGGAAACCCTTTAAGTGAAATATAGTCATTGAGTCTGCCTACATGAAATCCTCTTTTGCCTACATGAAATCCTCTTTTCATAGTTTAAGATACAAGGTGTTAAAGCTTTATTATGAGTTACGACTAATTAAGGACTGCCCAATTACAGCCTGCACTTTCACTACCTATTCAGCATATTTACACTGTACAGTAATTCCAATTGTTAATTATTTGTTCAAAAGGAATTTGTTACACCCCTATTCGATTATATCCTCTTGTTTTCCCCCTTCTTTATTCTTTCTTCCTTTTCTTGGCGTGGCCCAATATCAGCATCAAAATTTTGGGGATTCTAGGATAAAACGAATGGCTGCACAAGCTTGAGTTTATAGAGTGGTATTTTCTAACTATTGCATTTAGCAGTCCCTCTTGTTTTGCTCTTCCCTATGAGGATATAAAATGCTTTAATGTGTTGAGCAACTGTGTGCCGGATGGATTTTAGGAGGATGCTTTTGGCATGTACTGTTATAGAAGCAGAACTGATCCCTTTCTGTAATCTCATTTATGTGGACTGTGGTATATTTACATGAACAACTAATGCATGCCCTTTGTGAGACCAGCCACTAGTTGTCTCTCTGTGACAATTATTCTTCAAAAACAGTGGAAAAATAATTTTCTTGATGACTCTCTTTAGTTGATCTAATTTCTCATGTTTGACTTTGCATGTACAGGTTTTAGTGATAGCAATTTTGTTAAAGATGATTATGAGACGTCGCTTTTCCGTTTTTCAGGTTTGTGTTTGAGCCCATTGTCATGCAAATATGAATGAGGCACACTGTGTCTGTGTAGCCATTATTTAGATCTTTACTGTTGAATTCGCAAGTTTTAACTTTCAATCCTTGCTTTTGTCCCAGTTGAGCTTAATCCTTGAGTGCCACGCTTACCTGCAAAACTGATTTGTCATTTTACTACAGTGGGAGGCTCTTCCTCTGTTGCTTACTGGTATAAGTGTTATTGTGTTTATCAGCTGAAATCTTTACCTGAAGGAACCAGAGCTTTGGGTCTTCCCATCACCATGGGTTTGTATATGTATATTTGTAAGTATGTCGGTTCTTTATTCTATGGCTGTTGTATATCTTGTTTTGAGCGAGAGATTTTTCAAGGTGAACAATGTCAGTTTGCAGATTTAGATAATTCAGATTCCCTTCATTTTTTGTTGTTGGTTTTTGAATCAAGGAATTGTTTTGCAGGTAATTGTTCTGTCATTGGCCTGTTTATAATTGAGAGTATGCTCTGTAGGGCCAATAGGATACTAGCATTTACCTCCAGGTGGTGTTTCTAGCGTTCTCATGATTTTATCGTGTGCTGATTTAGACTGGACAGTGCTCTGAGAGAGTTGAAAACTGTGTCACTGCATGAGTGTAAACTTTTATCCAATTCTCTGGCTAGATGGTCCACACAATAATCAGTACCAGTTTTTATGCCTTTTCGTGTTCAACAGTTTAACAATTTTCTTGTTTTCTTTGTTTGAATCCTTTCAATGTTATTGAATGTCTTGATTAGACTATAATTGTCAATAACAAAATATAACCTAAACCACTGGGGTTTGACTTGAGTGGTTAGGTTGGCTGTGTTATTGTGTGTGTGTCAAAAGAAGAAGTCTCATATTGCCCACATGAGGAGAGCTCCTGATGTATATATGTTAAGGAATGAAAATGGGTTAGTGAATGGGTTTAGAGGAGCAGTGGGCTTACAAGTCAAAAAGGTACTAGGTTCTTTTATCAACTTTATTTTTTACAAAGGTTATTAAATTAATTTTTGTAAATGCTTTTTCCCAAAACTTTGCTTTACACGTTTCAAGTCTAAATTCATTATCCTTGGATTTCTTAATGTGCTTTAACTAGACATTATTTCCAATTAAAGCTTGAAATCGGTTTTGCAATTTTCTTCAAGTGGCAAACGTTCAAAATGCTGGAATCAATTATCTTCGTTATAACAATGTGTCATTATGTTTATGAAACTCTCAATTAAATCATGCTTTAAGGCTTCATATAGATTGTGCCTATATATAGCCTAGGGAATGTAGTGTATTTAGAGCTTGGCTCTAGAGTTCTAAAGCTTCTCCTCTATGTGTTGTGCTGACTGAGTATTATGCTAGTTTCTATTGTTTTGTGTCCTTACTTTTAGTAGGAAGAGTCTGTTTAATCCTGGGGAACTGCCGTGCAATTAACCCAATATGGCGGAATAGCTCTTAAGGACAATATCCTTGAGCATGACTCAGACTGTATTTTTACCTAGTAGTGCCAACAAGCTGATGGTTTTGGGTTAAGCCATTTGTCAAACCTAAGCCAAACTGAGAAAGAAACTAGCAAGATGCTGAACTTCCTAACTGAAAAATCAAAAATTTAGCACTTGAATCCGACCATTACACTCTCCATATGTTAATTTTGAGTTTCTTGATTTGCAGAACTTATTCTTACATGGGATTCATTCAATTTTTAACTTAATTAACTATCCATAACACATGTACTCGTACCAAATGATG